CTCAAAAATAAATAAACATTAAAAAAAAAGAAAAAGAAAAAGAAGGGGCACCTGGGTGGCTCATTTGGTTGAGCTTTCAACTTCAGCTCAGGTCACGATCTCACGGTTCATGAGTTCAAGCCCCATATTGGGCTCCGTGCTGGCAGTGCAGACCCTGCTTCACATTCTGTCTCTGTCCTTCCCCTGCTTGCACTTTCTCTCTCAAAATAAATAAATGAAAATCTTAAAAAAGAAAGGAAGAAAATGGCAGCATGGGAGCAGGTAGTAAGGAGCACTGCACTAACAGTCCTTACGTCCTGGGGTCTAGTCTGCAGTCTAGACCAGCTTCCCGCTGGGACATCACTAGCTAGTTTCATCACTTCTAAAATCAGGGTGCTTGCCTAAATCTTTTTGAAGCCCTTTCTAGTTTGTAGAAACGCTGAGGCTGTGGATGTCTAAGTCTCGGTGTGTTGGTTAAACAGTTGGCTTTTTTCTTTCTGTTACCGCATACATACGTTATGTATGGGGTTGGGGTGTTGAATTTACACTGAATGGTGGGTATGCTGTCACCAGAGTTGTGACTCCTGGAGCAGGATATCTAGGCTTTATTGTTCATTTTGACAGTGAGTAAACTAAGAGTGCTCATGCTTATCAGCTTCTGTTTGTTTGTTTGTTTGTTTTTAATCCTTAAGTTTTACGTGGACAGATGGCAAATTAAATAGCAGTAACTTGGTCATTCTGTCTGGCCAAGTGGTTGAACACTTTGATCTGGAGTTCCGAATCCTGTATGCACAGTCGAAGCCCATCAGCTCCAAGCTGCTGTCTGACTTCCAGATCAGCGGCAAGTTTGACCATCTAGTGGACAGTAAACCCCTGTCTAAGGAGCTCACGTTGGGCGGCCTGCTGCGCCTGCGGCTGTCCCGGCTCTCGAGCACCCCCAAGAAGGCTGAGCTGGGGTGTGAGGCCCCCGCTGAGGGCAGGGCAGAGGCCAGGCACCAGAACTGCGAGTCCTCCACCGTCGGCGATGAGGACGATGTCATCAGCTGCCAGGACAGACCACAGGGCGGGAGGAGGACGACCGATGCGGCCACCCAGACGGAGCCAGGAGAGGAGGTTCCATCAGTGAGCACGAGCGACGCGGGGACACAAGTCAGCGTCACCATGGCATGTGCCGGGACCCAGACCGCGGTCACCACCAGGGTCGCGAGCTCCCAAGCTGCGGTTCGGTCCACGTCGGCCACCACCCAGACTGACGTGGATGAGAATGTTCTCTTTTCTCAGGGCACCCAGTCTAAAGAAGGGTCACCAGTGTCCAGGATGTCTGTGTCCAGATCTCCCAGTTTGAGGTCTTCCTCCTCTCTGTCTTCGCAGGGCTCTGTGGCGAGCTCCCTGGGCTCCCAGACGTCCAGCAGAGCCCCTGACTTTGTCCCCGCTGGACACGCCAAGTACTGGGGCGCCCCCCACTTGGATCTGTGCTTGCGAGACTCCTTTAGGAACTTGAATCAAGAGCGCCAGTTTCACTTTGCTGGTATCAGGTCCCGGCTCAACCACATGCTGGCCATGCTCTCCAGGAGAACCTTCCTTGCTGAGAACTACCTCGGTTTTCATTCCGGAAACGTTGCCAGAGCATCAGTGAATCTCCTGGCTGTGAGAGACACCGCGCTGTATCCCTCCTACCAGTGACTGCTCGGCGTTCAGCGCCTCCTGGTTCCATCAGGTGCGCGGTGCTGATCCACTGAGCACCCTGCTTTACAGTTTGTTCACCTGATCTTTGGTCCCCCGCTCGTCTCTGAATTCTATAAACTGCACATTATTTTATGTGCTTTTATCCTGTTCTTGTCATGTATAAACCAGGTGTTGGTTTTATGGTCGAAACACTATGGGTACAATTTCTTTGCACGACTTTAATACTGATATCTCTTAAAGAGAGTGTTTAGGGGTTCTCAGGTTCATTCAGGTAAGAGATAAAATGGGTGCTGTGTTTTTGTAGATTTGTGTGCTCTTCTGTTTTAGAGATTTGAACACTAGGTCTTATCAAAATCCTGTTTAGAAAAAACTTTCTTATTGTCTGTCTCTTCTTCAGGGTATCTGTGTTCTTAGGATTAAATAAATACAACCAACTTGTGTTTGATGATGGCTTGAGTGTTATTTTTCCCCGCTGACACTTTTCTTTTTAACCCTAGGAGTGTGTCACAAGTAAATGCACATAACAGCAATTTCTGAAGAATTTTTTAATAGTGTTGGGGTGGGGAAGAAGTAGATGACCCAGATTGTTAAGAGAAAATACCCACTTAAAAGTTAGAAGACCTAAAATAAGTTTCAGGGTCATGCCTTCCTTAGGGATAGGAATGTTGGCGTTACTAGCCGTATAGTTTGAATGAGGGAACTTGCCAGGACCTGCAGGTCTTTTCATGTGCTCTGCTTGTCTTTTCTTGAAAGAAAAAGCTTGAGCCCTTTAGACAAGGACCTTGGTTCTTTGCTTCTCTGCCAAAGGCGGCCTTAGTGTGCATTCCCGGATTCATCCCTGATAATAACTCTAGTGGCCCCATGGGCCCCATTTCATCAGATGGGTGTACTGACATTGATTTAGCAATCTAATATCCTGGAGTAGGGGCAGAAGAGGACACTGACAATTATCCCAGATTCCTAGTTCGGTGGCAGGCGCTGCAACTGGTTTCTACACCCTGCTAATCAGGATTGGTATGGCTGTGGAATCCTGTTTTTGTCCAGTCTCATTTGTGTGGACAGACCAGAGGAAGAGAATTCAGAGGTGGCTTCCTCCTTCTGATTTGGTCAAAGCAGCAGAGATCTGTAATAAGGGAGGGCGTTGTCTGCCACGTCGGCACGTTGCCGATGCAGCCGCTCATGAGCGACGTGCCTGCAGGTTTTCATGCATGCACCAGGCCTCCCTTATGCTCACCAGGTTATTTGCTGGATTCGTGCCTTAATCTGGGCCGTGAAGCCAGCCAGACAACCGGTTCCCGTCTGATTGTAAACAACTCAGGCCCAAGCCTCACACAGACATAGTGCTGGTTGAAACCATTTGCAAATTGAGAGAATTTCCTATATGCTGTCTCTGACCCTCGCAACCAAGTCGTGGCTGGACAGCTGTTATTCCCAATAAACAGGCAAAGAAACTGAAGCTCAGGTAAAGTGGCGTATTCTAGGTCACAAGGCTGATAAAGGCAGTGAACACAGGTTTTCAGATTCTGAGTCTGGTACTTGGTTGTACCACTGTCTGTCTGCAGGGAGCGTAGAGGCATTACAGGGTGTACCTTAGGAAATGCAGTTAATACCCTGATGAATTCAGAGTTAAAATTTAACCTGAGTAACAAATGTAGGCACATTTGAAATTTCAACTCAGTGTGTTCTAAGGAACTGCTGATAGGCGTTCATAAAAAAGGCTGTGCACCGGGATAACTGATGATAACTGAGTTTGGGAATTGATGGATCAAATAAATTTACATGGGATGACTCGAGAGTTTTGAGAGAGGTGATGATCCCAGTGATTTTTCTCAGAGGAGGGCAGGTATGTGGCCCATGACAAACTTATCTGCCCACAGAGTCCTCTTTCTGTGGAGTCGGACCCCAAACCATTATTCTCTGAAGGTGTTGCCAATGATTAGAAATTAGAACAAGAGAAATATGGGATCCCAAGAAAATGGCCAGGTTTCTTGGAGTAAAGCTTTTCTGGCACTTGAGCGTGGAAAGATCATTCCAGGGCAGAGCGTGTCAGGGTGAGGTCTGAGGACCACCTGCATCAGAGTGAGCTGGGTCCTTGTTTCCAATGTCCATTATTGGCCCTGTTCCCAGGGGAGGGGAGGGTGACTAGGGCAGACTTTTGGTACAAAATATTTGTTGCCCCTTCTGCAAGAGAATTATTATTTCCTCATCTAATGGCAGACTTAGCCACTGCAAATTTGGCTGTAAATATTTCAGAATATCCGTCTAAAAGATCAAAACAAAAAACAGCTCCCTTTTAAAAACCACAATACCACCAAGATCGTACCTGAACAACTTTAAAAATTTCCCGGTATCATCAAACGGTGTTGAAATTCAGTTGTCTTATCTTCTCCTTGCTGATTTGTTTGAAATTAGAGATCCGTACAATTTTAAGGTCAACCCAATTGGATTGCAGGGTCGACATTCTTTTGAAAAACTTAAGCAGTCAACTGGAGAGCTGGCCACCCCACCCCTGTAGGCAGTTGGGTTGGGGGGTATTTATCTTTTACTAAGGGAACTTGAGGTTACTCAGAAGAAAACCTAGGGTACAGATCATGTAAAGGAAAAGTTACATGAAGAAGCCCAAGGGTGGATTGGAATGAGGTTACATGTGCGTGCCATAACGACCAGCACACTCCCTTTGGCAGGCCACATGTTTACCTTTAAGCTTCTCGATAGCTGAGACAGAGAGAGAAACCTGGTCAGATCCACCATTCACAGCGTCCGTAAGATTAAATTCGAGTTCAGGAATAACTCTTGCGACTAAGATAAGGTAAGAATTTTTCACAAGGACCCTCCTATAAAGATGATACTGGGGGAGGCACCTGGCTGGTCCCATCAGAAGAATGTGTGGCTCATGATCTTGGGGTCGTGAGTGCAAGCCCCACGTTGGATATAGAGATTACTTAAATAAATAAGTAAACTTAAGAAAAATGATACTGTGGGGACACCTGGATGGCTAAGTCAGTTAAGCGTCTGACTTCAGCTCGGGTCATGATCTCACGGTCCGTGAGTTCGAGCCCCGCGTCAGGCTCTGTGCTGACAGCTCACAGCCTGGAGCCTGCTTCGGATTCTGTCTCCCACTCTCTCTGCCACTCCCCCACTCACACTCTGTCTCTCTTTCTCAAAAATAAAATAAAAACAAAAAAAATTTTTCTAAATGATACTGTGAAGAATTTGGATAATAATGCCCTGATGATAAACCCCACGACAGATACTTTGAGGTGTGCCCAGACACTGAACGCACCAGGGCAGTTGCCGAAAGCTTTAGTGAATTGAATGTATTCACTCTATGAGAATATGCCCCAGTTTGCTTGGCAGAGTTCCAGTTTATGTCTGTAGATCCCCACCCCCTTTCAGTCCCAGAAGTGTCCCAGCTTGTACAATAAAGCATACGGTCTTCCTACCTTGAAAGCACCTGGTAGGTCTAAGGAGGCCTTCCCCAGCGCGTCCAACTGCACAGATGTGCATCGTCCCTCAGGCCAATGTGACAGTCACTCCCCTGATAGCTGAATCTCTTTCCTAGTGGATCTCCACACCTCTGTATCCAAATCCTCGGAGCTAAGTAACACTTTTGCTTATGCTAATACGTGCGTGAACTCGTTTATTTGTGTGCAAGCCAACAAACCAGACAGATTTACGTAAGTTACAAATTGCAGAGGGCTGCACTGAGACCCAGGGGGAAATCCCAGTATCATGCAATTCTGCAAAGAACGACCTCTTTTCGGGCTGGAGCAAAGCTCTTTCTGATCTGGCTTTGGGGAGGAGACCCAGGGCAGTTAGGACTTTTTCTCAGAAGCCAAGAGTTCTAACACACGAATGCATGGATGGTGTAATGGACATCTGTTATTTTTGCTTCCTTCAATCCACCTCTGATAATTTCATCCTGAGATTTCCCTCTGAGGAACCATTCTGCTTCCAACTCTCAGTCCATGTGGTTCTGGTGAAGCTGACCACAGCCACAGCTGACTTGGGGTGGAGCTAATGACCGAGGTTCAAGCCACTCAGAACATCATATTCCGTGGTCCTGGTGATTGGTTCAGGGATGGAAACACAGTCAGATACTATTTTTTTATTTGAGAGAGCAGGGGAGAGAGAGACAGAGAGCGCAAGCAGGAAGGGGGAAAGGGGACAGAGGAAGGGAGGAACAGAATCGTTAGCTGGCTCTATGCCAAGCATGGAGCAGCCCAACTGGGGGATTGATTCTAGGACCTGGAATCATGACCTGAGCCAAAATCAACAGTCGTATACTTAACGGGTTGAGCCATCCAGGCGCCCTGGCACAGAGAAACTTCTTAACATATCCATGACACGTGGTTTTGAAGAATATTATCTTTCTGGAAAAGCAATTATTCACAAGTTACACAATATACCATGTAACAAAATGATCAACTTTCATGGAATTGTTGGCAATGAACTAAATTCTGGATGCCATCTCAAGAAGCAAGTTTTAATTTTAGAGTAGTTATTTTAAGGCCAATCTTTCTGAAAATAGTTAAGAAGAATAAGATAGTCTATTAAAACACTCCTAGTTTGTGACAATAAAACCACACCATCAGCATCTAGGTTCTTACTTAGGTGTTTCCTCTAAAAGAAGTTTGTGAAAGCAAAACAACCCATTAGGGACAGTCGGGCTTTGAGAACTTTCTGAGGCCGATGAACTAATTCTCATCTAGGAGAGCTAAGCTCTAATGGTTTTAAATGGCCCATGTGGGTGAAAAACCACTGGCTTGGGAATTAGAAAGCCTGAATTCTAGTTTCAGTTCTGATGCTAAAATTAGCTCATTGGGTCTGACCAAGTCCTTTTAATCTCCAAGAGCCAAGGTTTTTTTTTCTTCAATAAAACAAAGAATTTAGGCTAGATGTCTCCTCTAGCTTTAAGATGATGATCCAGTAATTTGGGAATGGCCAATCTACTGCCTCTTTGTAAATAAGAAGACTTCTTCATGTAAGTCAGAGTGATTTCTAAAATATAGAAATAATAAAAAGTGGCTTTTATTTCATTTTCCCTTGTATTCATGTATAAACCCCTCCTTCTATACTTTGGCCCTTAGTGAAAATAAAAGAAGGAAGGATCAATGACATGAAGAATTAAAACTATAAAGCACGGCGTTCACCTGTACAGGATTCAACAGGTGCTTTGTTACTGGGCTATGAGTATGAATGTGACAAGCTCTCCATGTTAATAGTGGAGGCAAATTATAGTTCAACTAAATAAGTGTTAACACAATAGTGAACACACTGGTTCTGAGTCCAGAGGAGAAAGGCTTAAGCCAGTGAATTTATTCTTAGAGCTGGCCTGTATATTTTTATTTTATTTTTTAAAAGTTTGTTTATTTAGAGAGAGAGAGAGAGACGGAAGGGGCAGGGAGAGAGAGAGAACCCCAGGCAGGCTCTGCACTGTCAGCACAGAGCCTGATGCAGGGCTCAAACTCAGAAACAATGAGATCCAAACCAAGAGACTGATGCTCAATCGACTGAACCACCCAGGTGCCCGTATATTTAAAGATGAATAAAGAGTTCTTGGCAGAGAGATTATCATGTATTGAACCCTATCTTTATTACTGTGGAAATAAATCAAAGGGGATATTTGGAAAATGAATATAGGTATGTAAATTCCGATGTATTTTTTCCCCCTGGTGGATTTGCTCTATTTGAGTTAATGAGAACCAACATTGAATGCTTATGTCTTACACTGTTAGGTATTTTACATGTTATGTCATTTAGCAGAACCTTTAAATAACTCATTTTACATGATTAGATTATATTACAGCTAGGCTGGAGCAAATGGCAAAATTAGGATTCCAAATCATATCTACTATCTCCAAAGCTCTTGGTCTTTCCATGACTCTGCCATTTCTCATAAATGCAGAATTTTCTTCACAGCTCTAAAAATGCATAAATTCTGAGGCCTATCCCTTCCTATTAGTTGCCAACCCATAAAATATTTCTTCTCTTCTTTGGGCTAGCGGGATCCTTTTCAAGCTTGTTGACTGAAAGAATCATCTGTGGGGTTTCCTAAAATGCAGGTTCCCAGGGCATACCCCTGAGATTCTGACTCAGGATTGGATCAGGGCCTACAATCTGTATTTTTATTTAAAAATTTTTTTCTTAATGTTTTATTTATTTTTGAGATAGAGAGAGACAGTGTGAGCAGGGGAGGGGCAGAGAGAGAGAGAGGGAGACATAGAATCCAAAGCAGGCTCCGAGCTGTCAGCACAGAGCCCGACGCGGGGGCTCGAACTCACACACCGGAAGATCATGCCCTGAGCCGAAGTCGGACGCTCAACCGACTGAGCCACCCAGGCAAGCCTACAATCTGTATTTTTAACCAGCGCTGGAATCCTATGAGCAAATTGGAGGAAGTACTGGGTTAGTACCCTAGCCTAACTTATCTGCCCATTTCTAAGGCTCTCATTTCAACCCATTTCCCCCCCACTGTTTTTCGAGCATTACTGAAGAGCATTACTCTTAAGGCTCCGGAAAATTTCCATACCATTTCCGATGGCTTTATTCACTGATAATAAGTACTACTGTTATCGAGCATTTTTTTTCACTCACTATTCACCCTCCCCAACCGCCTTGGACAGAAACTGCAAATAAGGGGCGGAAACCGCAGTACCTGGGCGTACAGTGGGCTCCCAAGAATTATTTACTAGACCGGCAAACTCACGAGGTAGTTACTATGAACCTTCATTTGAAAATACGGAGGAAACTTAAAAAAACCCAGTAGGTCTGGGACGGCTTGTAACATAATCACGTAACAGCTAATTCGGGATGGATTATCTCCGTGCCCACCGCGTGCCGCCGGTAGCCGCAAGACTCTCGTGCCGGCGGTTTTCTCCCAAAGCTCGTCCTTCCGGAGGTGTACGGCGGCCACGCAGTCCACGCCAAGCTCCTGGGCAGGGCATCCAGAATCTTCACATCACACTAAAGAGCACGGAGAACGGCATCCTTTCCCTCAATATGGCGGGCCCGGTCACGTGGGCCAGGGGGCGGGCCGGGGCGGTCTTGGAGAACCGCTGTAGGTCACGTGGCTCGGGGGTGGTGGTGACCACGGGGGCGTGGCCGTAACTCCGCCGGCGCCTCCAGGGCCGAGGCTCCTCGCGGGCCACGCCCCCCGGCCCCTCCGGGGGCTCACGCGCAACGGAGGGGTGGAGTCTCCCTCGTGACCTTTCACCCCAGCATGGCTGCGCCCGTGGGACCGGTGAAGTTCTGGCGACCCGGTAAGGCCCTTGGAGGAACGCTGGGCCGATGCGGCGGCCTGACTTTGGTCTTGGCCCCGCAGCCGGCGTCCTGGGGCCTGCGGACCTGCTCGCGGGCCTGACCTCGGTGGGCTGGCCACCGCCGCCGCGGAGCTGGTGGGTTCTGTGGCTCTGGCGCTCACCGTGGTCCGGACGGATTCGGGGGTCCGCCCCCAGGCTGGGCAGAAAGTCTCTGTGTCACCTTGTTCGAGTCTCAGCTTCCCCGGGCCTCGTTTTCCTCGCTCCTGATGCGTGTCTTGCCCAACGCTGGAAAAGCGCTGAAGCGCCCACGCGTGTCCTGTTACCGTCCTGGGGCTACGCTAGGGCGGGACGGGCGGTGCTGCTCAGGGCTTAGGAGCTCAAGCTTTGGAGTCGCGCTGCCGGGGTCAGACTTCTCGGCTCTGCCCTGTGGTAGCAGAGTTCCTTGGGGCAAGTCACTTAATTTTTTGAGTCGCCTTGACCTCTTCACCTGTAAAATGGGTAGAATAATAACTATCCTGTGGGATTGAATAATGAGCACAGCGCCTTGCCTGACGTAGAGTAAGTCCTCATGAAAAGGGAAAGAAGCCTTGTTTTGTTTTAGGGTAATTCTTGCCCATCCCGAGTGGCTACCAGAAAGTGACCATCCTCCTTCGTATTGGCTACCACCGCTTTCTCTCTTGCAGGCAAACACGAATCTTAGTCACAAAATGCTTGGCCTGATTTGGTTTAATTTCTTCATTAATCAGGATTTTATAGAATGTGTACTTGCCAGATCCTGCTAGATACATTAGTTCCTCCCCTTCCATCAATTTCTTGTAAAAAGCAAAAGTTTCTGAACAATTACCAGTTTGTTTTTTTCCACCACTTGCACCTCTGCATGTCCGGGTGTGCAAAGTAGATTGCAGCAAAAAATGAAATGAGAACAGAGTTAGATGGAATTCTAACCTTGCATATAAGTGATGTAGGAGAGAAGCCCAAGCAAGGGATGTGTTAATTCTTTTTAAAAAAATATGTAGTTTGTCACTTAGCGACAGTTTTATTCAGTATTTAAAATCGTCAGCCAGTTATCCATCATGAATTTTATTTGTAGCCAGAAATTAGATCTCATTAGGTAATGAGATAGCCTGCATTTTATTTATTCAAGCCTTTATTAACAGGTCAAAGTGTCAAGTATGATAAAGGCCTGAATGAAATGTTGAAAATCAGAACAGGATACTATTTTGGCTAAAAAACATGTGGTTTTCTAAGTATTCTGTTATTTAGCTCATTTGTTGAGGGTATACTTATTGAACACCTAACCTTGTGGTCAGGAGACAGGTGACCAGGCTGCTGCTCTCTCTCAAGATTTATTCTTTTTCTCTCAGTTAGAATATGAAGTTGGGTATCCTTTAATTTTTTTTTATTAGTTTGTTTATTTTTTGAGGGGGGGGAGGGGCAGAGAGAGAGGGAGAGAGAGAATCCCAAGTAGTCTCCACGCTGTCAGCGCAGAGCCCGATGCAGGGCTTGAACTCACTAACTGTGAGATTATGACCTGAGCTGAAATCAAGAGTCGGATGCTCATTCGGCTGAGCCACCCAGGCGCCTCTAGGAGAGATATTAAAATGAGGCAGAAAAAGGTGATGGTAAGGAAGATAGTCTCCACAAGTCAGTCTGTAGAGCTATCCTTGACTGCCATATACTAAACTGGTGATTTGGCAAAGTCACTTAAGTGCTCTGAGTCTCAGTGATCCTCATCTGTAAATTGGGCATAACACCTACCAAAGGATTCTTTTGAGGATTAAATGAGAATACATGTAAAGCTTTTAGCACTAGATACACATTAAGTATTGTAATTACATAAAAGTATAGAAGAGAGGGAAAGATTGTGTGGATAGGAAGTACTTCATAAAGATAGTGACATTTTTGAGGTGAACATTGAAGCACGAATAAGGTTTATTTCATGGAGAGGTAGGAGTACAGAGCTGGGCAAAGGGCGCAGCATGAACAAGGCAAAGTGAGATGTGTGCCTCAAGCATGTCCTAAAAACCAAGATAATTGAGTAGCAAGATGATGTTGTGATAGGATAGGTTATATTTTGGGTCGAGGCAGGAGATGATGGTATTCTATTTCTAGTTCGTATTGGAAAAAAATGCTGGGACACCTGGGTGGCTCGGTCGGTTGAGTGACTGACTTCGGCTCAGGTCATGATCTCACAGCTCTTGAGTTCGAGCCCCGTGTCGGGTTCTGTGCTGACAGCTCGGAGCCTGGAGCCTGCTTTGGATTCTGTGTCTCCCTCCCTCTCTGCCCCTAACCCACGCACATTCTGTCTCTGTCTCTCTCAAAAATAAATAAACATTAAAAAAAAAAAATTAAGAAAAAAAAATGCTGGTCGTGACCCACTACATGCTTTCCATAAGCCACTAATTGGGCACCACTCAAATTAAAAAACTGGTTTAGAGGGAATGCCAGATGGGAGGGTGTGGGTGCTGTTGTCATCCTTGTTTTGTAGATGGAGAAATGAAGGCATTTGTGGTTTGCAGGATTACAGACGTGTACTCTTGTAAGTAAAGAGAATGCTCCCAAGGGAAAGGCAGCCATAGGCGGTCAGAATGGGAGGTGGAATTTACATAGAAGGAAGCAGTTCTGATTTGGTCAAATGAAGTCTTTCTTTCTTTCTTTTTTTTTTTTTTTTTTTTTTTTTTTTTTTTTTTTTTAAGTTTATTTATTTTGAGAGAGACAGAACTCCAGCCAGGGAGGGGCAGAGAGAGAGGGAGAATCCCAGGCAGGCTCCACGAGGTCAGTATGCAGAACCCAACGCCGAGCTCAGGCTCCCGAAACTCTGAGATCATGACCTGAGCCAAAAATCAAGAGCCAGGTGTTTAACCAGCTGAGCCACCCAGACTCTCCTGAATGAAGTCTTTTGTCAGGAGGAGACATGTTCCTTATTGATTGGCAGTAGCTCTTGTAAAACATCTCATAACAATATACTTGGATGTACGTTAGAGACAGGGAGGGGTGGGGTAGTGAAGATACCTGGGTGGATTGGACCCTGGTGGGGGGGGGAAGGAAGTGACCTTGCGGGAGCAATGCTAGCATGTTCTAGACATGCTGTAAAAGTTTTAAATGTGTTCTGAAAACGAGGGAATTTGCGACAAAAACAGAGCTGGTGAGGCTAAGGTATTCTTTGCAGATTTTTCGTGGGTAAAGTCTACAAGAAGTTATTAAGAGGTAGCGGTAATAAGAGACAAAAGGAAAGGAAACCTGCTTCTTTGAGCCCAGGCTTTGTTCCAGGTCCTTTTCTATCTTTTATCTTGTTGAAAGGAAGGTCAGCGTTTTGGCAAAAAAGAATACAGCAGTGCCCCACTTACCCGATTGTTGGCAATCTTGGACCTCTGGAACACAACTGTGTTCCTCGAAATAAATGGAAAAGGGATTAAAGATCTGTGGCAATGATTCTAAACTTAGCTCTAGGGGGTTTATGGACCACGAGCATTTCGTCTCCTGACCAATTACATTCTGGTGTATTTTTCAGGAGAGTCCATAGCCTTTTCTAGATTGTCGAAGGGATATGGGACCTCCAAAAAATGTAAAAATAAATCGGTGGCTAAATGTGCTTGTCACAAAGCCCCTGTGTTTCCACATAGCATTATCTTCTCCATGAGTTCAGAAGGCCTGGGGGATGATAGTTTTGGATAAGCATCTCTGTAGCGCCCCCCCCAACAGAAGGCAGTGGGGCACGTCATTGAACTTCCAGGGAGGGTTTTTATGACTCCCAAAGACATTGCACCCCAGTGCTGACCAGCTCTAGCTTTTGAAAATTGCTTCCTTACGTCGCGTTATGTGTCACTTACCACTTCCAGTTTCTGTTCGAGGGCTACACAAATGAATCCCCGTGAACAGTTACGGAAGCTGATCATAAAAATTGGACCCATGTTCCTTGTAAGGCATTTTCCTTCTCAGGCTAAAATCCACGGTACCTTGAACAGTGTTTCATGGTGGGATATGGCTTCCCTACTCTTCACTATCCTGAGCACCAGTTTGTCATTGTTCTTACCAAGCAGCTGTCGTGGGAAGCTGTTGTTTAATCTGCTGAGCACAGTGGTTTCTTGGAACAGCGCTTTGCACCCAGCCATCCCGGTTCTGTGATTCACAATGGGGGCTGCCGTCTAGCGCATCCCGCTCCACTGGCCATGGTTGACCGGATCAGGCTGGGCTTTGGACCTGACCTGGGAGGAGAGGCTCCCCACCCTCCAGACCACACACACCTGGGACTCCTGATCCCCCTTACCTAGTCTTTTATTTTCTCCTTAGCACTTAGAACCACTTCATGCACTAAGTTACATTCTCTTGGGAGGCAGAATAAAAGAAGCAAGCAAGCTGCAGAGGGGAGGGCCTGCCTGTGTAGTGTTCGCTGCGGTATCTCTTGCCCTCCTGTCCTTGTCGGGTGAGCGAACGGGTGAGCCTGAGCTCTGGCCCTGTCAGCAGCCTTGATTCCAGCTGCTACAAGAAGCCAAACTTAGCGACAGAAAGGAGCTGATTGAGAGGCTCTGAGATGAGAGAAAGAAAGCCAGCGCAGCTTTGGAGTACCCGGTCCCTGGCGTCCCCAGGCCTTGCTGCTGGAGTCCTGCGGTAGTGCCGCCCCTCCTTCGCCTCTGCCAATTCCCATTGGGTTTCTGTCACTTTCAGTAATTAGTAGTAATATGTGGAGGCCGGGCCTGAAAGCATATTGTCCTCTGTGACATACAGTTACGTGTGGCCAGTTTGGAGCCCAGTGGGACTCTCATCTCTGTTCTTGACGCTTTTAGGGAAGATTTTTGTATTTTCCTAGGTCCTTTCCTAGATGCTTTCCTCAAGTTAAAGTTGATTCTCTTTTAGTAGTTTGAGATAAAGCGCATTGCTGGTGTTGTTTACCTTCGTCTTTGAATTTGCAACGTCTGCACATTTTTCTGTTCGTTGGTTGCATCAGAGCATCTGAAAAAAGCATTTCTGTTGCAGGTACAGAGGGACCCGGCGTCAGCATCTCTGAAGAGAGACAGAGTCTAGCCGAAAATTCTGCAACAACCGTTGTTTACAATCCTTACGCTGCCCTTTCCATAGAGCAGCAGAGGCAGAAGCTGCCGGTGTTCAAGGTACACTGAATAAGAATGCGCAGTCTGTTGGTCCAAAGCAGCGTGCAGTGGCTCCGTACTTGGTACTGAAGTGGACTCTTAATGATTCTTTAGAGGGGCGACTCTTACTGATTCTTTAGAGGGGCGCCTGGGTGGCTCAGTCAGTTGAGCGTCCGACTTCGGCTCAGGTCATGATCTCACGGTTCGTGAGTTCAAGCCCCGCATCGGGCTCTGTGCTGACAGCTTGGAGCCTGGAGCCTGCTTCGGATTCTGTGTCTCCTTCTCCCTCTGCCCCTTCCCCACTCATGCGCTCTGTCTCTCAAAAATGAGTAAACATTAAAAAAAAAATTTAAAAAAAAGATTCTTCAGAACACAGTGAGCTCAGAGCTACCCTTATGTAAGGGGATTAGCTTTTCAAAATATGTGTGTGTTAGTTAACCATATCAATCTTGAAAGTCCTTAAGGGTTTTTTTAGTTAAATCTTATGTATTGAAAAACTTTGCTTTCAGTTGTGGACAAATTAAAATATAAAGAAGAGTAGAGAAAATAGACAACGAACTTCTATGCCTCCAGCTTCAACAAATTAACCAACGTATGGCCAGTTTTAGCTTCATTAAAACATTTTTTTTTAATGTTTATTTATTGTTGAGAGAGACATAGACAGAATGCAAGTGGGTTAGAGGTAGAGAGGGAGGGAGACACAGAATCCGAAGGAGACTCCAGGCTCCAAGCTGTCAGCACAGAGCTCGACGTGGGGCTCAAACTCACGAACCGCGAGATCATAACCTCAGCCAGTCGGATGCTCAACCAACTGAGCCACCCGGGCGCCCCTTAGCTTTATTTTTAAAGGCAAATTTTAAACAAGACTAGTTGGGAATGTGAGGTTGTTTCGGTGGAAGAGGTCAACTCCAACTGACCCAGTGACGGGATGTGGGTGGTTGTTATGGGCTGTGTGCACATCTAGACACTTTATTGGTCTCATGAAGTGGACATATTTATCTCAAGAGGCCAGAGCATAAACTAGAATTCAGAATATGTTCATTTATAGCCATAGTTCTTCAGTATGGACAGACACGGTTCATGGACACACTTTCTCCCTGTTGCCAAGACCACATGGGAAGCCAAATTGTAATCGCGAAGTGAGTGCAGGGCCAAAGGCCATTTAGATATAGCTGAAGAATGTTTCTTTCATATAGCCCCCCATCAAGGGTGACGAGCTCTCCCTGCCTCACGAGGTGCCTCTGGAATGACCCAAGTAGGTGTGGCCACCAGCACCCGTGATTGTCTCTCTTTCGCTTGGACAGTGCTGGGGGAAGGCTGCCAAGTTCTTCTGCTAAGGGAGTCCCTCTGTATAGACTGTGCTAATGATTCCTCTTCTATTAATTCGTGCTTTCTCCAAGTGGATTTGAAGCAGAATACTTCTTTAGCCAAGTCACCTTGGTTAGAGCTTTATGTGGCCCCAAACATTTTAGTCACTCGTGTACTGATGTTTCTGGATTTCTCCCTCAGGTGATTAGCCTCATCCAGTACGTGTGAACGTAAACAGGTTTGCCCCTCAGGAGATAAGCTTATAGGTTCACTGTTGCTGCCTCAGTGGTAAGGGACAGCCTGAACTGCGGTGAAGTATCGAGACTCTGGAGCTCGACTTCAGAGTTCAAACCCAAGCTTCATCGCTTGTGTGCTGTGCGATCTTGCTTGACCATCTGAGCTTCTGTTTTGTTATCTGTGACATGGGACTGATGTCACCTACCTCAGAGGAGCCATAGGGGGCCCAGACGAGCTAATCCACATCGAGCCTTTAGCTGGGTACCTGACATACAGTAAACGTTCGAGTACACAGATAATTACTGTTTACCAAGTATTGAATTTTGGCCTTTTCTGGACTGTTCTTCATTCTCCAACTGAACTTACAAGATATGATAAATGAAACAGTGGGAAAAAGCCATCAAGATTTAACATACGTTGACGGAAATTAAAATGGTAAGAAGAGGGATATAAGTTATTGATAAGCAAAACAATTTAAATTTAAGCACATTTTGGATCTCTTGAGATTAGTTAAAGATAAATGTAGACAAAAAGGGTAAAAGTTAACTCATTCACCAACCCCTGCGCCATTAACTAAAAGTAGATTTAAAAACAAACTGAAACGAAAGGGGCAATAAATTTAAAGTCACTCCCTTTCCCCTGATGACGTTACAAGGCTGCCTGCTCCTCGACTGCCTCCTGTCGGCTGGTGTTCCCATTAGGGCCCTGACGCCGCTATGAGAGGTTTCCTCTTACTCCCTCAATAGCCGCCTCTTGAAGCTCAGTCCCCCCCTCCTCACCAGCCCTTGGATTTCCCTGCTTGGGCCTCTGGGTGGTAGTGTCATTCTCTGTCTCCAAATTGGAAATTTTGTCATTTCTGTCTCTGTTGTCACCCACTGGACTTCTCCATTCGCAGTCCTTCGTATTTAGGATGTGACGTATGAATTAATTGCCTTCTGTTTTTCTGTGCCCAGTCTCGTGTGGTGCTGCCTGGTTTTCTCACAGCACTGACAGCCCATCCAGCGCCCCCCGGGAAAGTCCAGACTCTCGCTCTGCATGCACGGCCTTTCACAGGGAAGCCCGGACCACCCTTCTTGTAATCATTTCCAAACCATTCCCAGAGCTTTTCGTGGGCTTTTGTTGGTGCCCCTTGAATAGAGTTGGTACTATTTGCTTGTTTCTGTTTTCTTTCCTTTGCTTATGTTATTTCCCTTTCCTGGAATGCCTTGTCTGTTTCTGTCTGTATTCAGATTGTCTTTCAAGTTTTCCTTGACCATCCGTCCATTTATCCATTCACCCATCAACTGGATGGATTTTCCATTTACAGAGTACCTGCAAAGATCCCAAACCTCTCACCTTCCCTTACCCAAAACAAAAGAAAGCACAAAGTCCAGCGTGTAGGCTAGTCAGTATAGGTCACCTGCAGCAGGCTCTCCTTTGGGGGCTTGAGCTATGCCGATTCCTGGGCTCTGTCCTAAACCTGCTGAATCAAACCCTGAGGGTAGGGCTGGGAATCTTCATTTTTACTTTGTTTAAGTGTTACTTATTTTGAGAGAGAGAGGGGGGGGGAGGGGCAGAGAGAGAGGGAGAGAGAATCTCAGGCAAGCTCTATGCGAACACCGCAGAGCCCGACACAGGGCTCAAACTCACGAACCGTGAGATGGTGACCTGGGCTGAAATCAAGAGTCGGATGCTTAACCGACTGAGCCACCCAGGCACCTTAGGAATCTTCATTTTTTAACAAATATCCTAAGAGGTTTTTCACAATAAGATGTGAGAACTACATGCTTAGACTCCATATGCCAAATTCAAAAACCCCAAACAAGCCAGTACCTTACTGGGTCAGTTAGGCAGCCTTTCTGCTCTCCCAGTCCTCACCACATTATTGGTGCAGAATCAGATGGGTTGAGCGGTGGTCAGAGTGCGGGAACTTGGCAGGGCTTACTTCATTCCAAACCAGGTAGTTAGGGAATACTTTCATGACTCTCCGGAATATCAGGTGCATCTGTAAACAAATGCGGGTACAAAAATATATCCTGAAGCTAAGTAGATAGGATGTGGAAATGATCTGAGTTTTCAGGGGCACCAGTATTTCTGCTCACACTAAATGGGTAAAGGAAGGCTCACTTGAAATCTAGATGCAACCTACAGGTGCTGTAGTATGAACTCAGATATAGAGGTAGAGGTGAAAGCGTATTCTTTTTTCTTTCTTTCTTTTTTCCCCCCAGTTAATAAATGGAAGAATTTGTAATTAGATAATACATAATTGTACAAAGTGTAAAGGTCTCCTTCACATCCTTGCCCCTCCCTGGCCACCCTCTTCCACTCCTGGAGACATTACAATGACCAGTTTCTTGTTTTGTTTTGTTTTGTTTCTCCCAAAGAGAGCTTGTACATAAGCATATATGTATTTACCCTTTCTTTAAAAGCATAAATGGTAGTGTATTATTTACACGGTTCTGTGTCTTGCTTTCCTCTCTTAACATACCTTGTTGACCATTGGTTATCAGTGCAAATAGACATTCGTTCTTTTTAACAACCATGTGTATTCCGTTATTGGAGTGTATCGTAACTGACTTAACCCTGTTAGTGAACATTTAGACTGTTTGAAGTTTTGGCTGTTATAAACAACCCTTCGGTGAGTGTGCTGTATGTGCACTTCTTTGTTCACATGTATTAGTACGTCTGCAATTAAACTCTTTGGAAGTGACCGTGTTGAATTAAAGGTTAGGTACATTGTATATTTTGGTGAGTTATTGCTCTCAATTGCACTTGGTTCAGCTTATATAGACACCAACAGTATGTCTGCGAGTTGGAAATACATTTGGATAGTTCTTTTTAAAATTGACTTGCCTTTGGCCGACAGCTCATTTCATAATGTTTAAAAGTCTTTGTTTCGTTCTTTTGAGGAAATGTATGGCTTTTTACAACGTAGGGTTGTATTTTTCAGCTTCGGAATCATATATTATACTTGGTCGAAAACTATCAGACAGTGGTGATTGTCGGAGAGACGGGATGTGGAAAGAGCACACAGATCCCACAAGTGAGTATACGCTTCGACGTGTCTTTGCACTTATATTTGACTGGAAGGGTTTTGTAACTTGAGAACTCTCTTTACTATAATTTGCATTTTTAAGATCTGCCATCAGAGAGAAAATATCAACCCAACTGGATGTTTTTTATTCAACTTCTGGCTCTTGTGGTTCCTTTGATTAGTGTCAAAGTAACACTCGTCGTGGATTTAATATAATTCCACAGTAACGATTGAATAGCCATACTCTGAAAGGAACGGTGGGGGCTCCTTCAAAGAGGTGTAATGTGCAGTTTTGGCCTTCGAATAGTTACAGGGGAAGAGGAAAGTAAAAGGAATACTGCTATAGTTGTAAATAAAAATGGGCGACTAAAGAAATACCCGCTGTGGGAGTGGAAGGAACCCCCCGCGCAGGGCAAAGCCCTATCTAGCGTGGACACAAGTTGACGGAAGGATCGGGAAAGGCCTTGTAAGAGAAATGGCATTTAGAGTAGACAGTGAACACCCATGGCAGCTGGTGGGAAGACGTTCTCCTCCAGGGAATATTGTGCTCAGGGCTGCTGGGGTGTGAGAAGTGTTTGGGACTCAGCAAGAGTTCACAGTTAGGGTGGGATCAAAGTATGTCTTATGAGGGTGAAGAGTGATGTGTAAGTAAGTGGTCAGGGACGGGGGTCGTTGCAGGTCTTTCTTTCCTTTTTAATGTAGATTTTTATTGAAGTATAAAACGCATGTTGAGAAGTTCTAATGTCATAATTGTACAGCTTGATAAATTTTCACAAGTGAATACACCTGTGTTACCAGCACCCAGCTCAAGAAGCAGGACACTATTACCAGAGCCCCAGAAGTCCCCTTGTGTCCCCTTCTGGTCTCCTGGCCTCTCCTCCTGTTCCCGCAACACAAGGGTATTTCTTATTCTGGCTTCTCATACCACAGATTTGTTCTGCCTATTTTTTTTTTTTTTTAAATTAAAAAAAATTATGTATTTTTGATAGAGAGAGGCAGAGCGCAAGTGGGGGAGGAGTACTACGAATCTGAAGCAGCCTCCCAGGTCTCAGGAAGCTGTCAACACTGGGGCAAACTGCCAAACCTGGCGGTAGATCATGCTCCCTGACAAAGTCGGCCGCTTAACCGACTGAGCCACCCAGGCGCCCCTGTTCTGCCGATTTTTGAACTTGTATAAAGAGATAATACAACTTCCTTTACCCGACCCAATAATGGGTTTAGGATGTGACCCAGACGTAGGTATTTCTTAAAAGGTCCCCCGGTGATTAATGTGTAGCCCGGGAAAGACAGGCGGAAGGGAACGGACAGCAGTAGAGGAAGGACGGCAGGGCACATGGCGAGCTGCAAGGAAGACAGGTGCACGTGGTATCAAGCCCTTAGCAAATTACTTGCTTCCTGCAGAGAGCCACGGGAGAAGGGCCACGCCAAGTTACCAAGAGACTACCAGAGAGTCGTGATAATCCCAGCCATCGTCATCATGAAACAAGTAATGAGTAGTAACCAAGTGCCACATAAAGTGGTCACTTTGCACACGTTACTCTGTTTAATTCCCAGTGACCCTGCCAGGCAGGTACTGTTATTATTACCTTCATGTTACAGATGAGGGCATTAGCAGTGATGTGGAGGAGGGGGCAAGGGTGAAAGATGGGCCATGTGAGTTGAGGTGGTCTCAGTTTGTTTCGGAGTCAGTCTGTATGCTTATTTAGTCATCTCAACCTAACTGTGTTATGTTAACAAAGAACCTGAAAATCTCGGTGGCTTGAGAACCCAAAGGTGTATTTCTTCTTTACGCCGTGTGGTCTTGGGTCGATGACCCAAGATGGCTGCTCCACATGGTCAGTGGGACCTAGGATGCTGGCCCAGTTCTTGTCTGGGCCTTGGGAGTCTTCACGGTAGACGGCGGAATTGTGAGATGGCTCAGGTTTCAGGACTCGTGACTGGTTGTGGCACTCCTCACGTTGCTTTGGAGAAAGCAAGTTTCACGGCCAGGCCCGATAGCAGTAGGGTGGCTGTATATGTAATCCTCCTATCAGGTGGGTGGCAGATATTTGGATCCATAGTACAGTACAGCACAACGATCTGGTCATTTCCCCCAGCAAGGCTTAGCTGCCAGGTAACAGAGAGGGCCTGCTGAGCGGCGAGTCCAGGGAAAGAGTGGCCTGGAGGCCAGAGAGCGGGGTCTGGGGATCCAGCCTGGGCAGTGTGGCAGCGAACGAAGGTAATTTGTTCTAAATTTTAAGGTGTATTGTAACGTTTACTTTATTTTCATGTTTTTAATTTTGGAGGAATATTTAATAGGTTCACATCGTTTAAAATTCAAAGGCATGGAAGAACATCAAAAGAAAGGATTTCTCTTTTGCCCTATCTTCTGATACTCATTTCCTTTATACAGATACAACAGATGTTGGTAGTTTCGCAGATAGAGATTTTCTTACTGCGTTTACAGAAAAGTGTGCGTGTACCTCTTTTTAAAGCACAAATGGTGGCACGTGTCCATGCTTTAATATACCTGGTCCTTTTTTCCACTTAATGTGTCATTTTTCGGTTGCATAGATTCTCCATAATTTATTTTACCAGTTCCCAGTTGAGAGGCATTTAGGTTGTTTCCAGTTTTGTATTATCGCAGTGATGAAGTGAGTCAATTTTCATATGTATCATTTTGTACGCATATGGGTATACTTACAGAAGAAATAGAGGAGTTATGGAGGTAATGGATCCAAGGGCACGTACATTTGAATTTAATTACTTTTAAGGAACTGTATTTTCTTACAGGCACTGTGTTTTTTTTAAATTTTTTTTTTTTTTTCAACATTTATTTATTTTTGGGACAGAGAGAGAGCATGAACGGGGGAGGGGCAGAGAGAGAGGGAGACACAGAATCGGAAACAGGCTCCAGGCTCTGAGCCATCAGCCCAGAGCCCGACGCGGGGCTCGAACTCCCGGACCGCGAGATCGTGACCTGGCTGAAGTCGGACGCTTAACCGACTGCGCCACCCAGGCGCCCCTGCACTGTGTTTTTTTAATGCATTCTTCTGGCACACGGTTGAAAAAAGCACAAAAGAATAAATGGTAAAGCGTGAGTCTCCTAAGCTTTGCTGGTGAAATTGGCTAGGTCATTGTGATAGATGATTATAGTATTGGTCCGAATATCTGCTACCCCTCGTGTGGACGGATCATCTCCCTTTCCTCACCACGGAGTTTCTCTTCTCCGAGATTACCACAACTTCTTATTATGGCCTGGGAAAATTGGACAGGCTGAGTGAGGAGCTGAAGGTCATGGCAAGAATATGGAGCAGGTTTTCTTAGCAAACCGTCTTGCTGGATTTATATAATATCTTTCCTTGGAAAAGTACTGCATGCTGAAGCACCAAACACCAGTTTTGAAATTTCACAAACTATATGTAGAACCCAGATGATATTTTTTTCCCAGAGCTCTGTCAAAACAATGGATTATGCAAACAAGCTTCCTTACTACAATTTTTATTAGTGCTGTTTTTGACGGAGTGCTTCCTAATCCCACTCCTTAACAAGAGGACCGGATTTGGTGACCCTTAAAAAGAGCGGAGATGGAATTCAGCGTGACATAACACTGCCTTTTGATAGCAACACTATACCTGCTTTCGCAGCAGCTTTTCATTTCCATCTGTCAGTGGTCATTAGCATGCAGAAGTCTGAATCACAGGTGTATTGAGGAGACTGGCTTCGTGGACAGGTTGTTTGTTATTACGGAAATTCTTTTTCTTTCGCTTACCACTGTTATTAAGAGATTGACTACAGTTATGTATGTTTTATTTTGGATGGGAGAATTGTGTCCCAGTTTTGTGACAGGGCTGTGGTTTGCAGAGCTTAAATTCCAGGGCTTAGATTTTTAATCTGTCCCGGGACAAGTTATGTGATCTCTTTGTTTGCTTATCTCTAAATTGTTGATGATGCTGTTAACCTTCCTTATAGGATTTGTTGCAAGGATTAAATGGGCTTGTGTGTGCAAGGTGCTCAGCACGGTTCTGGCACTTAATAATGTAGTCCTTGAATCTTGGCTATTATTTCATTTTTTTTCTTAAGTTTTTTTTTTTTTTTTTTTTTTTT